ATACCAAGGATTAAAACATGACAACATATTTTATATATATTATTCATTAGTGATTTGTTTACTATAATATCGCTGATAATTTTATATCTGTTTCTGTGATGACTTGTGATTCAGGTCCTCAACCTTGACTTGTTTTAAAGCAATCCATTGCATCGTTGTTTATTATAATATTCTGTGTAATTGTGACATCTAAAGACTGTACGTGTATGTTGTAGGATTAATTCTTATACAGACATACCTGAATTTGTAGGAAAGTTGTAGATACATGCATTTGGACTAGAATCATTATAATTATGTTAAGAATAAGTTGTTCAATGTTGGTACATCCGACTACCAGTTATGACAAAGTTTTATAAATATTGCTTGTGTCAAGCATCAGCGCGTGCAAACCTGTCTAACCCTCGGGTGACGGGGAAGAACAGACAATAAAAAGAATAGTGTTTTCATATATCCAAGGTATTGCCTAGCCTCCTTTCTGGCGTCCCCGGATCGGTGTTTTTGTGTGTGTGTGGGGGGGGGGTATTTTCTGATCGAAAAATGCTCGCTACGACCTGAATTATTACGGGGGTCTCTTTAGAGGGAGATTTGTTTCTGTTTAGCCGAGAATAATGCTAAATCGGCGTGGTTACGTGTCAGAGACCCACACAACACACTTCCGGATGGATTGAACCCCGAAGACACTATGAAACCGCATATAACTGAAAATTCCCCCGAAAAATTCTTTAAAGCAAGCATTTCGTAACTAGAATGACGCTATGTTGAGAAAAACAGCCTTTTTACGTTTTGATGCAAGTGTAAAGTTGGTCAGACAAAGAAATATTTTGGGTGTCTCGTGCCGACCCCAGAAAGACCTGCGTACTTGGTGGAGGAGAACATGGCGCCTAGCCGGCATAGAGTAGAGTGGAGTAGATGTCAAATCAAGCAGGAGTTCCACGGGGAGCCATGTAGGGTTGCCAGCCGGAGCTTCTATTGCGTGCGATCTACGTTTGATCATAAAATCCTGCCCCCCCCCAAAAAAACGACCGATTCGGGAACGCTTGAAAAAGACGCTAGGTATTGCCTGCGCTATACTAACTTTGGTACATGTGTAGTTTCCTTTAAATACACATTAACGAAAATGCTTGTTTTATTTGATTAACCATCATAGTATCAATTTGTCAAAACGGACTTCACTTTTGAGAAGTACCTTTCATCAATCCAAAACAAATCATTTGTTGCTAACATAACCAAACTGCGAATCAGTGCACATTGTTTAGAAATAGAAAAAGGTCGTTATAAGAATGTACCAGCCACTCAGAGACGCTGTCCTACATGTAAACATACTGTTGAAGATGAATGTCACTTTTTATTATCTTGTCCCATGTATACTGAAGAAAGGTTGACACTTATGAATATGATTTCACGTAACTCAAACATTACCTTACCTAAGACAAGCTCAGATACTTTTAATATACTGATGTCATGTCCTGAACCAATATCCTTGTATATAGGCCAATTCATATCCTCTGCTCTTCAGAAAAGAAACAACATCATCTGTGACACCTTGAACTGATGTTAACATTGTACCCATGTTCCATATATATTGTATAATTCAGCACTCACAATTATAGGGTAGCGTTAGAATAAGGTTTCTAGAAGTAGTTTTTAGTATTGTTGTTATCTTTTGATTTAAACACTTGCCATACATTGTATCCATTGCAATTGTTGCGCAATAAAGATTGATTGATTGATTGATTTGACAGTGGAGGCATTGGGGTCACAGAAGACTTGTACTATTTGATCCAACTACTCCAATAATTTTCTAAAAATAATCCCAGTACCAGGATATTTAATTGGAATGGCCTACCATATACGTTTAGCATAAGTATCTACATATCTTAGCAATGGTGTGCGTAGAATGTCTAAGAAAGCAGCCAGCACAACTCAGAAACTCGCTAATATCTAACATCATAACAGACATATTGTGTAGACCAATCCTCGGAAGGTAGAAAATTTATTTTTGCCGCCAGAAAGCCGACCCATCGTCCTTTGCACGTAAAACGACCCTCGATTTGGTGAGTGCCACCTTTTCCCTCCCCAGCTAGTTATCACCATGACTGTTTTGTGACAAATTGAACGGCAGTTAAATTACTATCAACTTTCACTCATGACAAGTTGTCAGAGCATATTGGGACTAGATATTCTGTATAACAAAAGTATAGAAGAGGTAAACCAGGCAAAACTACTGGGGATGTGGTTGGATAAACAGCTGACCTGGGGTCAACACGCTGAAAAAGTTCAATCTAAAATGACAAGCGCACTAGCTGCATTGACAAGATCAAGGGAATTCATTACAAAAGAAACGTTAAAAACAGTCACACAGGCACTTGTTCTAAGCCATTTGGATTATTGTTCGTGTTTGTTGTCGGCCTGTCCACAATCTCATTTGAACAAACTTCAAATTATTCCAAACAAAGCTGTCAGATTGGTTTTAAACGCCAAGTACAACTCCAGCTCGGACAATATGCACCGAATATTACAATGGCCCAAAGTTAATGACAGATTGTACACAGGAACACTCTCCATGTTTAATAAACTTCTAATGGCCAAGCGACCAGAATCCATCTACAAACGTTTACAAAGAGTCACTGACACATATCAACATAACACACGCTTAGCACACAGAGGTGGCTTCAAATTACCAAAGCCGAAAACCGCCTCAGCCAAAGAACATTCCTGTATCAATGCATCAAAACTTACAACTTATTTCCTGAACACATCAGATTGTCTGCACCTACAACTTTTAAGAAACATATCAGGGATTGGCTGAAAACTAAAGTGGACACTTCCCAACCTCTGCAATCATGGTGGTAGTGCGACGACTGATGTATAGAATTACTTGTTCTTAACTGTATTGAGACCTCTGACCTCTCAGGAGTTTTATACCCTATGTTGTATTCTCATTTCCCATGTCGCATTTCATTGCTATGTTGCATTTTATTTGCCATGTTGTATTTAAGTTACGTTCGCTTCTTGTATATGTATGTATGTATAGTATAATGCAGTGTTTGTATTCAAACGACTCCAGGAAGACTAGCGTTGTATTATTGTTGTACGCACTAATGGAGATCGATCAAATAAACAAATAAAGATATTCTGTAATATATTCAAGGAGAAAATAGAGAATGACAATTCCTGTTGCACTATTCAACTCTATTTGGTTTTTTGACGACTGTTATATATCGTACTGATCAACTAGTTCATGTACCAAAATTCCAACGCACCCTGCCGTGTTTGCACTTGTAAACACAGACGTTGCGCCTTTTTTTACAAGCGGTGATATGCATTCAAACTGATCTACCCTGCTACATTTGCACTAGTAAATACCGACATTGCGCTCTTTGTACAAGCGGTCACGCAGCTACCCCAGGATTCCTCTCTTCAGAGAACAGGTGACGACAGATCACTGGCCAATAATGACGGACAGACCGTGCAATCATTTTAAAGGAGCCGTTACTGACAAGCTGAATGGAACACATATTTGAAGTATTCCCTGGTAGTCCGCTGTTAAAAACAAAGTTTAGAAAGGGCTTTTAGAGTCTATTTTATACATTGGAACTTGAAAGTTAATCTAGAAAAAGACCCAGATAATTCTCTTTACTAGTAAGGGTGGTCGATTACCAATGAACTTTTTCCTTCTTGTTCAATGATAATGTAATATAAAATGTAATGTCATATTGTTATCTAGGTACTGTGGTAAGTGCAGCTGGTACGTTCAAGGCTATTAAACAAGAAACATTTATTGTTGGGACAAGTTGGCTGGTTTCACCCTTCTGTCCGCCTTACATTGCGACTCCTGAAAAGAATAAGATGTTGGATTACTATCCACTTTCATTGATAAGTTGTCAGAGCACATTGGGGCTTGATATTCTGTAATATTTAGTCGAAAAAAAGGGAAACGACAATGCCTGTTTGATTCTTTCTGGGTTGCACTATTAAACTCTCTTTGGGTTTTTGACCAGTGTTATCGTGCTAATCCAGCCGTTTTGTCAAGACTCATCTATTTGACGTAGTGTAGGGGAATTTGGGACCCCTCGCACTGTGGATGATTACAATTATTTTAGTACTAGGATTTTCTTTAAATTGACTTACGTGTACTCAAGGTTTGTGTCTTTCCGTCATCCCCAGTCATTTCTACCGGAAATTATTTTCTATGTGGAATTATCCTACGTGAAAATTCCATATTTTGTGCATTGGATTGGGCAAAGAAATAACAATTCTTGTTTTGATTTCTCCAAAATCAAAGAGTTTGAAGAAACAACACCCAGTTGATCTTGTAGCCGAAAGTATCGCATATACAGTTATCTGACTTCCTAATTATTCCTTGGAAGAGACGAACACTGAGAGTGTGCAGTCTAAGTTAAAAACCAAATAGCTCGACTACAACTGCAGTCGAGGTCGAGTCGAAAGCAACGCACATTTAACAACAATTTTTATGGGCTAAACCTCGACTGCTTAAAGAAAGTTGTATATAGAACCTCAAATACACCAACCACAAACATTACCAATCCTTTCTTGATAACAAAAGGTTGGGTCAACGCAACAGTCTACCCTTTATTTTTTTTATAACAACCACAACCACAAACATTTCCAAATACTTTCTTGATAACAAAAGGTTGGGGCAACGCAACAGTCTACCCTTTATTTATTTATTTATTTTTGACTCACGTAGGCTGAAGTGAACGGTCAGCATTTTGGTGTACGATACTCCACTAACTTATCAACTAGTAGTATTGGATAACTGCTATACTTATGCCGGGCAATCTTGCCATTGATTTTGTTTTTATGTGCAAAATTGCGAATTCATGTTGTTTGAAACTTCTGCGCATGCCAACTTGAGGCGAATACGGCATGTCTACATATCAGCATGACAGCCATTGGCATGACAGGTTTCTTTCAAGTTCTTCCAAGAAAACAGCATAGACGTGGCCATGCATCCGGTGGCACGATGGACACGTGTACGTAGCGGCTTGACTTCGAAGCTATAAAAGGGGCTGACTTCAGCCACGCCGGCAGATTGCGAGGAGACGACGACTCGTGGCTCCAGATCAAGACACCGTCTTCCCGCCACTGACGCTTCAGAGACAGAGTCTTCATCTTGACCAACCAACTGCAAGGTGAGATACGCGGACCGTCATGTTGCACAGTGCATTTTGGTTGTAATTTGTAAAAAAAATGATACTAATAATAATTTAGCATAGCTTTTAGGATTTGTATTTAGAAAGTTTTTTTGCAGGTCTAGAATGAGAATTACATGTATAATTACGGTGATAAATTGGTGGTACATGTGTTGATGTTGGAATATTGGCGCACCAAATCCTTAGTGAGCTTTTGGCACACATTTAGACCGATAAGCCAGAAAGCCTCGGTGGGCGTCACTCCACAGTCTGAGAAAAGAAGGAGGTGTAAAGTGCCTTTCCTAAGGTCACAACGCCGGGGCAAAAATGATTGTGTGTGTAGTCAACACTGGTACTTTACTTCTAATGTCATAGAAACCTTTTGACTGAGGAGTCTACATTGGCTACAAACCTTATAGGCGCCACCCCAAGACCCTTTGGGCATGTTCGGTTCCCAGTTTGGACCACTGTTTCCTGTTATCTATGTTCTATGTTTGCTGCCCAGAACCTTGTATTTCACTAGGTAACTTCCCACACGCGTATTCAGCCTTGCGATATTGCAGCAACCGTTTGAAAAGGCGACGACCGTTTACGAGACAGAAATTAGCCTCTTCGCCATCTACCGAGGCCGGGTTTCTTACACCTATTTCACGAGACGGCTCCGACAGCGCTGACGTCGAGACCACATCGCCGACCCACGCCTCCTTATCGACGCCAGCCCCCGGGCCGCGTTACCGGTACCACATCCAGCCGCTCCATTGTCACCTCGCCTGAAATCGACTGGCCGACCCTTACACTTTGTTTTAGTTCTTCAGTCCGTTCTCAATTGGAAAATTTCCACGAATGTATCTGCTGGCATTTTGTCGGGTCGTAATGTTTGATTCACTACGATCCTGAGTCTTTCGTGTGGGGTAACTCCTTATCAACGGTCTCCGTGCTTACAATAGCTCACAATATTTCATAGAGGTATGAAGTCTTGGCGTACTCTCTTAGCCTCGAGTTGGTGGGGTCGTTCAGATAGTTATGGAACTTGTATTCCTGTTTTAGGTTGCTGGTCACTCTTGACTTTCTTGAAGTCACGTTGTCTGTCTATCAGTAAGAAGGTTTTGTTTTGGACGGGAGTTTCTTTCTGTGTTTGTAGCAGTTTGACACTCTCATCCTAACGGGCTGTCATTTTTGACCGCCGGTCGGACTTTTTTACCTGACCCCAGCGCTGGTCCCAATGTTCCTAGCCTCGCTGGCAGGCCCCATGCTGGTACGCCTCGCAGTAGCGCGCCCTGTTGTGATCGCGTGGGAGGCGGGTCGGTCCTCGTGTTGTGGCAGAAGCGCGGGAAGCAACAGCCTGAGTGCGATAATGGTGTTCTCTGTTTTCGTCAATGGTATCCTTGTCTGCCCAAGTTCACGTGTCGTTCTCCATCGAAAGAAAACGGCAGCATGTGTTTCACGCAGAATTTCCCAGTCATAATAAACGCATCAAACATCAAGTCTGCAAGATGTTGTAGCTTAACTTTCAGCGATCCCTTGAGACGTTTCTTCTCGAGTTGGTTCTTTACGTTAATTGCGGCCATCGCCCCCTTATCCTTGCCGGGGAAAATAACATGATGGTTTGGCCAGTCCACTTTAACCGTCCTCGAAACACAATCATTAATGGTCTTATTGCGACCACTCTTGTTACCTCGACGCCGCGACTTGGCACCTTGACTTCCCGTTTCCCGACGAGAAATAGACGCGAGGGAGGGAGCTGATGCGTCGGGACATTTCCCCCCGTCGTCCGACGAAGAAGACAAGCGAGAGCGGCGAGAATTGCGGGCCACCGGAGACACCCGAGACGGAGAGCACAACAGCGAGAGGCTGATCTGTCCGTCGTTTGACGGGACCTTTTTCTTTGACGACCCTGACGTTCTCGTTTTCCCAAAACTCTTATCCAAGGTCTGCTCCACCCGTCGCTGCCCGAGGCCTCTGGCAATGACGGTAGGCCACGACGCATTTCCCGGGGCCGTAAGGACCAATGTGCCCCCTCACCGACAACCTGCAGACGGTTCAGGCTTTAGGTTTAGTTGTCGCGAAACCGAGAATGTAGATAAAGAGAAAAAATATAATTGAGAGTAGAGAGAACAGCGAGGCAACGTGCGCGCCCTCGCCTATCTCCTGGCCGAGTGTCAGAGTTGAAGACGAGACCACATGTGGCCAGGCCGTGGGCTGAAGCGAAAGAAGGGCTAACAGGAAGACAGAGATGCCGTGCGAAAAAAAAGACACTGGTTATACGAGTCTCTGGCTGCATTTACTGAATCTATGATCTTAGATATATAGATATATTTCCAAACATAAGTAAGCCCGTAACAGTGTAAGCGTGTAAATTTCTAGATGTACTGTACATAGTGCTCCCCCTCCTCCCCAACTAGGCGGAAAGTGTTGTCATTCATTTCGCAAGACCCGCATTATAAGAAATAAGAAATAAGAAATAAAAATAATAAATGTTGTGAAGTCGCGTTATAAGAAATAAGAATAAGAAATGTTGTGAAGTCGCGTTATAAGAAATAAGAATAAGAAATGTTGTGAAGTCGCGTTATAAGAAATAAGAATAAGAAATGTTGTGAAGTCGCGTTCCTCAGGGCAAACGCACGCGTACACACACGAATCATCTAGTCACGTCAAAACAAACATACACACACACACACACACACCTACTAGCACGCGGTCAATACTATGAAATTGTTAAGAGGTGTGAAAAGGGTTAATCCTCGTCGCAGGTTTAGATAAGGACTTAATCCTCGTCGCAGTCTAATAAGGTCCGACGCATTGAAAAACCTCCGACGCATTGAAAGACCTCCGACGCGTTTGTAAAGCCCGACGCGTTTATAAGGCCCGACGCAGTTATAAAGTTCGACGCAGTTATAAGGTCCGACGCAGTTATAAGGCCCGACGCAGTTATCAGGCCCGACGCGTTTGTAACCCCCGACGCAGTTATAAGGTCCGACGCATTTTAAAGTCCAACGCAGTCTACAGCACCGAAGCAATTATAAGACGGCCGAAAGCAATCAGACGACATTGGGAGCTGTATTATATCGTCAACGCACAGTAATTTTGTCGGGACGAAAAACCGACGTTTGCGGCCGTAAACTACACTTAAGCCAAAACTTCTTCAAAAGCATGCTGTGTCAGTTACGTCGTTGTGGTTGCTAGATTTTGATGTCATACATTTTTAACCCCCTGGCCAAGCATGTTAGGCCATAGCAAGTAAAATTATGGATGTCATCTTCCGCAGACTTTAAATCTAATGCGACAGGGCGAAAAAACAAGGCAGGCCAAAGAAAACAAGGTTTCTACATTTTCAAATTTTGACACCATAAACCGTGTGAAACAAGAAATGATGCCTGAATTGTGCTAGGTTTACTGTCAACTATTACAACATTCATTTCTCACTGAAACAACCATATAAATAAAAGATTTCAATAATTACACGAATGATTTTGATTCGGTGGGAACATTACATATGCACAGCCTCAATCACATATAAAAGGAATGAAATACACCACTGCATCAAGTCAAAAATAAAATATTTAATCAGAGCCTTGTCTTTTCACCTCGCTTCATATTTATCTGCCATCCACGTTCCGGCACTGTCAGGGGGCATCATAATTGTTCTTCTCCAAATTCAGACGAAAAATAATGCGCGCACTGATTTCATCCGTAAAAAAAGTACTTGCTGTGGCCTTACTACCGTAATGGTACATGAGATAAAGCCCAAGTGTACGGGTGAGTCTAGTTCTGAATGTGTTTGTTTTACCTTACTAAAGGCCTCTTACCTGTGAATCCGAACAATGGAAAAATAAACTGACCATGCACCAGTGCCGCCAGAGGATACCAAAGGAGTTTGACATGTCTGATAACATGATCCAAAACGCCCTAGCTAGAAACAAATGCACAAAGAAATCTGTAGTTCGTAACGGTATTGAGCTCTAGCCAATAAACCAGAATAGACCCCGGTGTTGTTTCCCAAGGGTAAAAGATTGGTGACTAGGTAGGATTCAAACCTGCGACCAGTGGTCTGAGCCGAACACGCTACCGTTTGGAATGAAGGAATGAAGCTTTACAAAACAGCAAATATGTGGGTCTCTGAGTGTTTGTTTTGTAGAAAACCGACCTGACGTGCATGAAAAACAACGTCAACACCACTGTCGTCTGCATTTCCCATGATTCCCTTGGGACCACATTGATTGCGTAAGCCGGGTCTTCAGTGGAAACACGGACTGATAGTGTTAGATAGTCCAGGAATTATGTCTTAACTGTAATGATAAGTTCACGGACAGTGAAAACAGTGAGCATAACAGTACAGTGAAAAAAATTAGGAATTACAGCACAATCGCAATTGTACTGTCCAAAGAACGCTAATATATCATAAAATTCTATTCTTATTTTCATTTACTTAATTTCGTCACCAATGCCTAAAGACAAAAAAATACCAATGCTTTCTAACTTAGGGCACACTGTCTAGCGTAGCCGCATTCACGAAGGTATATTCATGAAAACGTCTCACAGAGTTTGTCGTAACACGGAGAGTGAAGTGCCCCCCCCCCCAAACAAAAACCTTTTCCTGCCCTACCGTTGACCTATTACCCATCCTAAACCTTCTTAGCGTCCTATTTAGAACAGAAACGTTTCCTTACCTATTACGACTCTGGACGAATCCACATAGTTTCAAACTATCGTTCAGAATTTGACAGATGAATTTGACAGAGGAAAGTCTGTGTCTGTCCTGCAATGTTTATCCACTTCTTCATTCTGGAGGGACCAACAACCGCAGAAATATTGACTCTCAGTAGTCTACCATTGTAAAGCTTGAGAGGTAATACTCAAAGGGGTTGGAATTTTCAAGACCATGTAAACAGAGTGCTCAACTCAGCGTAACGGGGCTATTCAATAACTGTAGGGCGCTGCCAAGCCACGTTGACAGTCACACGTAATGCGATACTCATAATGGACGCTAGAGGGCGCAATATACTAGTAGCTGCATCGACAGCTGACAGCCAAACAATCCGACTTTCCAGTTTCACCGAGTAAAAGTGACTAGAAGATAATCATATCGACATTTTGTACATTGATGAGAATGTGCTAGATAAAGGATAAGTCTGGGATGACATACCGTGTCTTAGTTGTCGTATTCATTTATTGGTTGACCAATAATTTCTCATCTACTAGGGGTGCTTAACCAAGAAGTTCGGTGTTCTGAAAATTCTGGTCCGGCTGAAAAAATCGGTCCGGGCGTGACCTAAAGAAAGTCTGTACGTGCAGCGGTAAACATAACTCTGACTTCATTAAAGTGATAGTGTACAAAGTTAAGCTGTAGAACTTCTAGGTTTAGGAACATTGAAGTATTTATCCATTTAGTGTAGAGTTATGAACTTTAGATGCCTCATACCCCGAATTCAACCATTTAAGGATGCAATGGTACAATGCCCTATAATGTCTTGTGAAACTTATTCTTTTGCTAAATCATAGCCAAAGTAAACTGCAACACCTGAAATAATTGGCCCCACAGTTCACACACCGTTTACGACCACAGTGTATTCTTGAGAAATTTCAGCCACTAGTGCAGCTTGTATTTACGGGTCTCGTTGTGAGAGCATAATGTAAGTCTACAAATTTCCGCGGTGTATTTAGATTCGCGGAATTCGCGGGGACCTTTGTACCGCGAATCTATTTCCCCGCGAATATGTTTTGCGTAAGTGTGCCCCCTCCCCACATGCATTCACGACGAATCCACATAGTTTCAAACTATCGTTCAGAATTTGATAGAAGAATTTGACAGAGGAAAGTTTGTGTCTGTCCTGCAATGTTTATCCACTTCTTCATTGTGGAGGGACCAACAACCGCAGAAATATTGACTCTCAGGAGTCTACCATTGTAAAGCTTGAGAGGTAATACTCAAAGGGGTTGGAATTTTCAAGACCATATGAACAGAGTGCTCAACTCAGCGTGACGGGGCTATTCAATAACTGTAGGGCGCTGTCAAGCCACGTTGACCGAGTCATACGTACTGCGATACTCATAATGGACGCTAGAGGGCGCAATATACTAGTAGCTGCATCGACAGCTGACAGCCAAACAATCCGACTTTCCACTTTCACCGAGTAAAAATGACTAGAAGATAATCATATCGACATTTTGTACATTGGAGAGAATGTACTAGATAAAGGATAAGTCTGGGATGCCATACCGTGTCTTAGTTGTCGTATTCATTTATTGCTTGACCACAGAGGGGTGTGCGGTCTTGATAAATTCTTTGGTTAAAGCCCTAAGCCTAGTCCTGCGTTGTTTTACACATGCATCTTCTGTATGCGAGGCGCAGCAGTTGTTGTTTGGAGGGTATTTTTAGTACGCGTTCACACTACACGTGATCGGCAACTTCCGAGTGGGCCAGTGGGCCAGCGTCCTCTTGCGCAATCTTTGTTTTGGATGTTTTCGGCGTATATTACGACTTCATAACTTACAAATACCGCTATATACTGTCTCAGACGTTCTCAACATGCATTTTTACCGTGGGTACATGTAATGGGCTGCAGATGAAAATGTTGACCTGTGTTAACACTACCAGGAACGCTAAATCACATAAAATTCAACACCATCAACTATACATAACAAACAACATATAAAAATATACAATAAAAAGCCCGGAGGTATAAAATCTCAGATTTTATACAGCTGAGATCTCTTCTTGTTAGATCGCTGCTTGTAGTTAACTAGTTTGGCGTCCATTTCCGGCGCGTACATGCCACGTTTGCAATGACTACAGGACGTCCTTTTTTGGCGACGCCTCAAGGGTGGAGCCGTTGGTATAGTATTGCGATTGAGTTGAGAATTCCACGAATGCATTCCCCAGGGAATTAAATTTGTCAACAAGATAACTCAAGAACGGCTGGTTGGATTGGTTTCATACTTGGTGGGTCCGTAGGGTGTGACTAAATCTGGAAATAATGAGATTTTTGATGCTTGGGTTTGATGCTTTGATGCTTGAGTTAACTGTGTTACAATTCTGCAAATCAGTATCTAATTTGCATAATTTATGCAGAAATTCTGCTGTGTTCAATATTAGGGCTACGAAACAATTGTGACATATGTTATTGAAAAGACAAGATCTTTGGCAGATATTGATTATGTAAATGAACTAATTTGCATAATTAATGGGAACTATACAATGTGATAGTGGTAATTGCCGGGAATTTAGTATTTATCATACTTCATTGCCATAGTGCAGTAAAGGTGAAGATCACTAAACACAATTTATTCAAACCCGGTCCTAATTTGCATAATTCATGAGGAAATGCTAAAATATCTCTCAAATTAAGAGTATATTTGTTAGTAAATCCTCGTGGGAAACTTATGACTGGCTCACGTACATAAACAAGCATCTCCATCAACAATGGCCAAACAGACACCATGATCATCACTCACATCAAAAGAGAATCACGTCGCCGAGGCATGTTTTAAACGCCACTTTATTTTAATTGCAGGTGACCTACCGGAGAGATGATGGACCCGCGTGTGTCGCTGCACGTGTGGCTGCTCGTCCTCGTCATTATGGGCACCGGCGTGACTGGTCAGGGTAAGGTTTTCTTCAACATTTTTTTTATACTGTGTTTTTGTTAGATGCAAGTCTGCACATATCATAAAATATCTCAAAATAGGCTGAATTATACGAGACTTGACAAGGACATTTCGTTAGCGAGACGAAGGCACAATTTAGTAGAAAGTGACACAGACGTCTAACCAAAAATCATGACGCCAACCTGCGGATTGACTATTTTGTCGCAGAGCTCTGCAGAGGTATCGCTGAGGGCTGTACGAACAACCATGGAGGTTGCTCAAATGCCTCACTCACTCACTCACTCACTCAGCTCATCATGCCCCTCCAGGGGGCGTAGCGCCTCTGCATACGGCCCTCCAGGACTGCCTGTCTCTGGCTGCCACCCAGGCGGTGGTGATGTCCAGTCCTGCAGCCTGTAGGTCCGTAGACAGCAGGTCCGTCCAAGTGCGCCTCGAACCCTTGCGATTCGGCCGAAGGGGCGGAGACGAGCTGAGCGGATCTTGCTGGACAGTAGGGGCTGGTTGGTTTGCTCTCTCAGGGTGTCGGTGGAGTCGAAGTAATCCAAGCGGCGCTCCTGGGCAGCAGTTAGGTTTCAGGTCTCGGCCCCGCACAGGGGATGGACAGCAAAAGGCTATTGTACATGAGTTTTGTTCGGTAAGAAATGTTCCCGCTGGCCCAGACAGTGTTTAGGCTGGCAATGGCAGAGGCGGCTCGTCCGATACGAAGCTGGATGTCAGAGTCGCTCTTGCACTCGGTGGTTATGGTGCCTCCAAGGTAGTAGAATCTGTCCACGGCCTCAATAGGGTTGGAGTTGATCACTAACCCGGCTGGGGGGGGGGTGGAGGTAGTCGTTGAGGCATTGGTTTTGTTTTCAGCTGATCACATCCATGTCCACATCCATGGCCTGCATTGCGAGCTGGAGTAATAGTATATCCAAAGCACATAGTAGTTGAACCTGTACGTTTGGTAGTTTACATTAGTATATAAAGTTAGATATCTTTGTAATTTTGACCCCTACTTCATGCATTACCTGTACATAGCTATAGAATAGCATACACGTAAAATAAAGGTGTTTCATTTATTCATTTTTTTCTTGCAGAAATTGACGAGTGCGACACCAACAATGGCGGCTGTGATCAGATTTGCACCAACACCATCGGCAGTTTCCAGTGCTCCTGTCTGGACGGCTTCAGCCTCAACACGGACGGATTCACCTGTGACGGTAGGAGAAAAAGTACAAAAGTAGCCAGAAGAAGTTTGTGCGTTTCATCTACATGATGCATTCATTGTGCCCAACATGTAGTGGTAGCTAAATCTATTAAATGGCTGTACTACAGTTGAATGGAATCTAGTACTTAATTTAAATGTGCTAATCTGCAATGGATACTTGCATGTACACTATCAAAACTACTTTGTGCAATTGTACAAAGTAAATGTCGAAATGTGTATGCAACCCAACAAATATCAATATATCACATGCAAACATCATCAAGTGGAAAATAACTTTTTCCAGGCCGCCGGGAATCACTGTTCATTTTGAATCTCTATTTTGTTATCCAGACATTTTGCTGGAAGGGCCGCCCCCACCACCGCCGATGCTACACCTAAGAGGCTCACCTCCACCACCACCACCACCACCACCAACCTTGGACTTAGGTACTTTTTAATAGGGGACCTAATAAATTAGGGGACCGATGGAAAGTTATTTTCTTTTACAAAAAGCATGGCGATGAGACAAGACAGGAACAAGAAAACCGTAGCAAATATATATCCATTTTAAAAAAGACTGTCCGGTTGATCCAAAGTTTCCCTGCCGGTGCCATTTTACACTGCAAAAAGACTGCAATGCTGTCGATATCAATGGCAAACTATCCGATTCCATCAAGATTTCTCTCAAGTTATTATTCAATAAAATGTCAGAAATACCAGAAACATTAACGCGTTGCATGTAAGGTTCAAGGAGCACACCCAACTAATGTGCACTTTACCACAATGACAACTATTGCTCTGGATCCGTTTATAGCATACTAGCAAAAATCGTTTTAAAAAGGAGTCCTCCTCAAATCAAAGTAGTTTCTCATTTCGTGTCTCTCTTCATCATTTAGGCGGCAACCTCCCCGAGTTGCAACAGCTTCTCACCGATGCAGTCGAAGGTTCCTACACCGTCAGCCCAGACTGCAGCGTTAATCTGGCTCTCAGCGGATGTCGACTCGACATGACTACTGACCCTGATCTCTGTCTGACTGTCCGCCTTCTCCTGTCAGAAGTCCTTCCAAATCTGTCGCTAGATGACTATAGTAGTGGTGTTGCTTCTGATCTGTTTGACGTTGCTGTGTCAGGTAGCTACGCTGATCGCTGTGAAGATGAATTATCTATTTCAGGAGGCACCACTCAGCCTATCACTATCGTACCTTCTGTCGTGACACTCGATGCATTTTCTATCCATGTAACTTATACTTTGCCGCCGTCACTCAATGCCACTGTTATTATAATTAGCGGTGTGTGGAGCATCGGTGATGTTGAATTCCTGGTGACGCTAGAAAAATCCGACGGTGGTTTTGCTCTTAGTGGCTCGGTAGCAGATCCTTCAGGTGTAACCACTGACAGGCTTATTTCTGGGCTTTCTTCGTTTGTTCCTGGTAATGCCATTAGCGAGTTATTCCACCCACTAAAGCTTGACAGCATCTCCGTCACAGACCTAAATGTTGTCGTTATGATTGCAGACGGTGGATACAGCTTGGAACTTAACTTCAAAACAAATATTCTGAACTCACAGGTTTTCTTCTTCCTCAGCTCAGTTGAGTCAGAGGATGGTTCAACTAGCCAGTCGTTTTCTTTGGGGATCTCTGTCAATTCTGTGCGCTTTGGCGATCTTATTCGAGATGTTGTCGATGAGAACGTTGTTGTTCCTATCATAAGTGACTTAGTTCTTTCCGAAGCGGCCTTGCTGGCAACGACTACAACACCAGAGCTCGACTATCCGGTATCTCTTTTGAATGAGGTGGCTTCAGAGCTGTCTAGTGGTTTGGGGATTGCCTTTAAGCTAAAGCTCTCCGACGATGTTCCTTTTGGAACCTTCCTTCTCGGTTTGGACGGCAACAGATACGTGTTTAAGGTCCTTTCAGAAGAAACAGTCCCAGTGAGTGCTCTACTGAGCAAGGCAATAACCTCCTTCACTTCCATCAGTCTTCCTCAACAGCTGCCTGCTGCAGACATTCTAGCTGGGTCCCTGAAGAGTTTCGAATATGATACCGATACAAAGGTCATGACAGTTTTTGCCGATATAGACGACTCTCTTGTCATAATAGAAAACATTTTCGTTCTTGAGGATCTAACAGCAACTTTCCAACTAGAAAAGGTGTCTCCATCCTCGGCCTCAGGAAATGCTTATGACTTTAATTTTGAATTAGACTCATTGTGGAATATTGGCCAGATATCGGTCAGATGTGGAATATCGGTCTCTAGAGATCCAAAAACATTTTCCGCATCTGGGTCTATTGAAGGTGAGTTGCCAGTAGGCACCCTGATTCAAGACTTCGGTGTATCGTTTATGCCATCAGGTGCATTGAGAGATATCCTGCATAGTATTGGCCTGGACGAGTTCTCTATCGTGGACCCCAGTGTAGCAGTCATATTTGGGAAGGAATTCGCTGTCCATGTTACCGGAAGTGCGGTGATCGGTGACTGGAGTAGTACTGTTGAGATGATAGTGGGCAGGGTGCAGTCCAAACTGGTTATGGCGGCAGGCGTGACGCTGTCAAACATCGGCATAGTTGAAGTGGTTAGCAAGCTTACCGGGGGTGCACTTGATATTTCAGTGATTCCAGGGGCAAGTATTTTGTCACATACAAGCGTTGCCTTTGTGGCGTCTCCCAGCACAATGCCGCGAGATCAGCACTTGACGATGTCTTCCCCGCTGCTTGCTGATGTAAACATTGCGCAAGGAGTTAGCATCGCAGCTTCTTTTACGCTTCCAGCAGGTTGTGGACAGGATATGTTTTGCAAAGTTGCGAAAAAGCTGCTCGGAGCTGATATTGAGCTCAAACTCCTTGCAACGTTGGCCACTGTGAGCGACCTGCACATGAAGGCGGTTGTTGGAACCCCGGTGACTCTAGCTGATGGTATTGAGCTGCAGGATGTAGGGCTTGAGATAGAGGTCGGCACTACTAATAATGCAATAGGCATAACTGGTTCGCTGGAGTTCGAAACACCTCCTGTGATCTTGAGGGGCGGAATCGGAGCCTCGCAAAGTGGAGGATACCTTAAAATGTCTATGGAAGGGATGTGGAATAAAGCGTTCGGAATAGATTTTCTTGCAATCGGTGACATCATCTTTGAGCTGTCCATCACTCCAGAAATCTCTGTCATCTCGTCATTGGAATTTGGGGGTCGTGCTATAATTGGATACCAAAACGACCCCAACGCTACGCCCATTGAGGGATCAGCGTACATAGGTGTGAACAAAATAGATTCACGACAGAACTATTGCTCGGGCTCTATAAGTGCGCTAACCGTCCCTGCCATTCTTCGCGCTTTCGGCCAAAGCTTTAAGCTTCCGTCTTTCCTGGAAGAAATTGGTTTTCCTGATGGAGTCAGTTTTTCTTTCTCCGCTCAAGGTAAAACCCTAGAGAATGGTGTTACCATTCCCCAGGGATTCTTCTTTAGCGGTACTTTGCAAATACTCTCCTTCAGAGTGAGTGCAGACCTAAAACTTGACCCAACATCCCTGTACGCCAAAGTGACGGTGGACGAATTTGACATAGGCAATGGTTTGATCCATATTTCTGGATCAAGCTCCAAAACTGGCCCTATACTGAAAGTCGACATCGGCTGGAGTCCAAAGCGTGCAAAGCTGCTTATCGATGGTAGTGTCACAGTTCTCGGCATCCACGCAAGCACAACAATCTCCATGGATTCATCCGGGACTTACTTCGCCATCGAAGGAAAGTTCCTCAATAAGTTTCAGGCATCTCTCGAGATAGAGGCCAGCTACGGATCTCTGAAGGAAGCTGAGTTCAGGGCAACCGGGACATTCAAGAACGACCTTTTCAGGTCTGTCAGTTGCAACCGCCTCTAGGGGGCACAACCCTAGATTATTTCACGTTTCCATTCGAATCTGTACACACTCAAGTCTAGCTACCGCCTCTGCTGGGGAATAATTCGGAAAGAAAATAACATGTGAAAGGATATCCTTTCAGTTGTAAGACCAACTGAGTATTGTTTATTCAACCTCTTTGCTTTTGGTACCTTAACATAAAAATATATTTTCATGCCAAAATTAATGCATAAAGTTGGGGCTTTTCACGTGAGGTAATCCCATAGAAAAAAATCCGTTAGAAATGACTGATGCTGGCAGAAAGCCACAGAACTTGTCTCTACCCGAGTCTTTATAAAGAAAATACCACGGACCCCGGCCATGAACTGGGTGTGTACAGTTTATTTCGAATTAGTAAATCTAAGTATTGTAATCATAATCAGAGTTCAATTTATCATAATTTAAAAGCATTGCTTCGTAGCTTAGTTGTTGCAATACTCCCTGAATGTTATTCAAGGGGACCTGAATGTTATTCAAGCTCACAATATTGAAACTACATCATCAAATAGTCTCGAATGGAAGAGTGGTAAGACTGACATTTCTGGAAAGACGTTGTGTCCTTGTGAAATGCACTTAACATGACTTCCCTCAACCTATCGTCTTTCTGCCCAAAATGTGTATCTGACTTCGATTGGGGAGGGACAAGGCAACAGAGGAATGTGTCCCGCCCTCAAATATCTTTCCAACACAGCTGATTAACAATCTATTGCCCCTACGGTCAAAATAAAGACTATGGAACTACCTTTATCTACCTCTACTTTACATTGAAATGCCACTTTTAAATGACTAAAAGAGACTGAAGCAGTATCCCATTTTCCAGTTCTCTGAGGGACAAGGTCGAGGGCTTCATGGACAACCTCGTGAAAGAAGCAAACAAGGCCCTAGACAGTGCCAGGAATGCCCTCAACAAAGTTACGAAAGCCTGTGATGCTGCAAAAAAACCTTTTAATAAGGCTAAGGCTAAGGTTAGTTGTCACACACTTCAATTGAAAGCTTCAGACCTGTGCACCAATCTAACTAACGAAACTAAATCAATGAAACATGAAAATGTACATCTGACGACAATTATTTTGCTACTTTCCAGACTCTAGAAGTAATCATTTTACCAAACTTTTTAATTCCACATTTATATTCTTCTAAATTTCTATGAAAAAGCAATTATTCGTATTTTCTAGCATCGTTAAAGCAACATTTTGCCTGTAGATTCAATAACAGAGTAATATCGAACATTTCAGCTTATTCTGTATGTCTTTAAAATCAAATACTGTCTCATACAATATTGTACAGGTTGACAGAGCACAGCGTGACTTTGACAAAGCAGTTGCAACGTTAAAAAAAGCAAGACGGGGCGTGGAGAAAGGAAAGAAAAAGTTCGACGACGCCGTGGCTTATTTGAATAAAAAGAAGCGAAGCTGCCGTTTCAAGAAGTGTAAATGGTGTAAGCAAATTTTTCTACAAATTTTTGAATTCCCCTGCAGCTACACATCTTATCTTACTATCAATGAGAACATCACGCAACCATATAAAATCTACTTTTAAACACACTGAGCTTAAGGGTAGTACAGATGTCTGCATGGAAATTGTTCCAATTTCATTTTACATGCAGGCGACTGAAGGTGATTAGTGTTGTTAGGTTTAGAAACTGAAGGTTCTTGGCTCAGATCCCAAACCAGCCTAACTTAATCCCTCACTTGATTCGTGTTTAAGGGGAGCCAGCCGCACCTGAAGCATGTTCAAGATGCCACCACACGTACCGAAAAAATAGGGTCCTTCCCGGTGTGCATGGATCAAATCTCACAGTGTGGTCTTAAACGTGGCTTTCGTTTTGTTACCGGTTCATCGGCTATGCGAAAAGAAATCAAAAGCATGCAACGGATCGGCTCCCAACTGCGTGGTACTTACATGTATTATTACGTCTACGAGAAGAGAAGTCTTTGAAACGGAGCCTGCGTTTGCTTTTAGAGTCAACTAATAAAGATATTGTACCCTAGTTTTTAACCATAGATAGAAAGAAGAAGATCCTAAGATTTAATCATAGATAGAAATGAAGAAAGGTAAATGTTAGAAATGAAACACGGACTGTGTTTTATGCAGGATTCATAGTCATATCATTTACGTGAATCTACCTGTTGTTGAATTGCAGGGAAAGTGAAATGCCATGCGAAAAATGCTCTCCGTGCAGCGTGTAAGGCTGCTCTAAAGGTAAGGTCAATCACGCAACTGTGGCGTCAGACTAAACACCTTTAAATGAAATGCCATTAAGTAATGAGAAGAGCTTCCATCCCAGTCATCTCACCTTTCATGTTGTATGCTATTCAAATCATTACAAAATTGGGAACAATTGTGCTTTAAAGGTCATATTCAAAGTCTCCTTTTCCAACAGATGTAAGGCCGTAAGGACGATATTTCTTTCCCATAGCCCCTTGTGACTATTTAGTTGAAAAAAATGTGACACTACATGCAGAATTGTTACCAAACTCTGACACATATGGTTACTCTGCTAACAAGATTGCAGAGGTGGCGGTTAAAAAGACCAAGAAAACGCTGAACGTTGCGAAACTGGCCGTCAAAGCCGCCCAGAAGATCGTGGACAAGAGCCGCTGGACACTTGACGCCGCAAAGGGCGTTTTGGAGGGTACAAAAGTCGCAGTACACGAAACATGCGAGTAAGTGGTAACCATTATAATAATGCGTGCAACAGTTCATATTAAGTTAAAATTTTAGTATTCGGGTCTCACCCTAAACTACCTAGTGCCTTGCTTAAGTCATCTTGATATCTTCGAGGTTTGCACAGGTCCCAAATTGAACACAAAGGTATCTAGATATTTAAAGGAAGTATGTAAAAGACCCTATACCCTATATCCTGATGCTATTTAAATATTTGTGATGGATGTAGATTAATTTGTTGTTGTTGAATGTCGGACAACTCGGACCACCATTTCCAACTCGGCCCAGTCAACACAACCCATGGTCAACTCGGCCCAACTGGTCAAGTCGCCCGAATACGGAATGCTAGTTTATAAGCGGTAGAAATTTTCGGGAAGTAATCTAACTCGTGGGAAATAAGAGTCTATGTAAAGTTTTGCAAGAACATTAAGTTCATAACGTTGGACAATTTATTTCATATCCGGTTCAGAAATGAGGTTATATGCAAGTTACACAGACAAGATTCGTGGCTGAGCTACATACAGAGAAGAAATATGACCGAGCTGATAGAAACAGAAAGCAGAACATTTTACAAAGACCTGGTATTTTAGTGGATATGCTCCTATGTACTGAGTTAAGCCCTGATGTCTTGCTTGTTTATTTATACAGCATCGGTGTCACCGCAGCAAAGGGGGTATTGACTGCCGTCAAGGAAACCAATAAGTTTGGCATAAAAGTAGCAGAGAAGGTAAACAATTAGGAAAATATAAGCATTAAAGCAATTATAGATGGTCAAAAAGGCTCCAAATTCAAACTATGTCAACCAAATTGGAATAAATTAGGTTGCAAAGTTTGCAAATAGGCTAACCTTTAGAAATTGCACTCAGTAATGTTGTTTAAATTGCCTCTTTTATAATCGCTCTATATTACATATTACTTATGTACACTGTACCCAAATGATCCCATGCAACAAGTTGACGTATGTACCAAGAAGGTCACATAATATGAATAACTTCCCCATCATTAGGTTTCCACTGGCGTGCTGGGAGGAGTGCTGGACATAAGGGAGATGGGCTTCAGTGCGACCGTGGCCGTGGCCAAGACAGGCAGCTTCGAAGGTTGGATGAAGGCCTCGTTCTTTGGAGATAATCCGGTGGTAAGTGTCTATGGTTAGCCACCAGATCATAATCAATAGACTAGTATCAATCAATCAATCAATCAATCAATCAATCAATCAATCAATCAATCAATCAATCAATCAATCAATCAATCAATCAATCATGTCATTCTTTTCACATGATCAAATAATCTTGATTTGCTTTTTTCAACCTTTAGGGAAGCTCTGATGGTGGTGTTTCTTCTGTGGTCTCTTTTTGTGACCGTATATCAGCCGTAATACCCTCATTTCTGCTGCCTGGAGAATGCTTTCCCGTCTTTGAGCATCCATGTTTCACAGCCATATGTCAAAATTGGCTTTAGTAATAGTATGCTAGTGTAAATGTGGACTCTCGCGTCTGTCCGCGTATATTGCGTCCTTTATACTAATACTAACTAATCTTGCCTCGGACGTATATTACGTCCTTTATAATACTAACTAATCTAAGAGCATCATTGTTTTCCACAGAGGATCAATATCAAAATCAGGATCTACTCTATCGAGGCTATGGCAACCGCCATTTGTGACTACATCAAGGATATCCTAGATGTATAAACACCCGGGACCGCGAACATGGAGAAAATTAACGGGGCTGCCATTGTTCAATCTTAACCGGCACCTCGCAATCCTTTAAACTGACAGAAATGAAAGTATTTTGCTTATGCTAGCTGCTATATTTCCCACTGCATATATATCATTGATGTGTATTCTAAGCTGCAATTTGAGCCTAGGGCAATTTGAGACCAGGACAATAGAGCCATCTGTTGGTGTAGGTATCATTATGATAAACATTAAGTATGGTGATAGATCAGGGCATGATTCATGTTTACAATGCATATTAACCCTCAAACACCCGATTTGGACCCCAGGAGTATATTTTTATGTGCTATTTGATAATTTTTTATTTGAAAAAAAATTCCTCCCGTGACTTTGTCAATAAACCTCTTCTTCAAGCTCTAATTTTTTTGGAGATCGACACAAATTTGTAAAAATAACAACGGGAAGTCTGATGTAAGACCCCAGCTATATTAAATTTTGTACTTTAAAAACACATGAAATGTTCGGATATCCTCAATATGTCTTCAAGGAAGCATTATTGCTTTTGATATTATGCAGTTTGCCAAGTAATCTCAACCTCAGGAATTAGGGTATCAGGTTGTCAGAGGTAATGACCTTTGACAATAATATGAGGTCAAAGGTCAACCCCATGTCCATGCCTGCAGACCTCATCCAATTTTTTGCATAAATTATGATAATGATATTATGATAATTCTTTACACTTAATCAAGCTTGCATATACCTCTTACTATGTTTAACCAATATATGTGCAAAGATTACTGAAAGAATGCAAAAAAGGAATATAAATTTGATAGAAACCAACTGGGGTCCATTTGGACCATGTTCGGTCATTTTCGTTGCAAAAAAAAGTTCGGGTGTTTGAGGATTAAGTGTATTATATTGATCTAAAGTTAAATGTAGGTGTGATGTTGATTTCATTACTGTAGTTATATTTAGGTAATAGGTATTTTAATCTCTGCACACGTTGTAAGACAATTTGCTCATTACAATATGATCTAATTTTAGGCTCTAATGTGAAATAGAGGTTGTTGAGGAGTAGGATTTGTCATGTATTAAAATTTCTAGGTATACTGCATCATCATCATCATAGTGAATAGACATGATATTTCTAGGCTATTTTAGAAAATACGTGGTTTAGCATGCAACCACCAACTATGTACATCATTCTTTGTTGTGTTAGTTCATCTGATCACAAGACGATATGGTTATTCTTCTGTTTATTCGAATTCGGTAGAAAATAACGCTCTAGTAGTTGATTTTTTTCAAAAGCGGGAGCTCGACCAAAGTAAGGTAAAGTAAGTAGTAGTTGATATAAATACATTCTGATGTTAGCCGTGGCGACTCAGGAAGCCGACTTTACGAATTAGCATGTACTATATACTGGCAGGTATATACATACAAATTCGTAAAAGCGCCTTCCTGAGTCGCCACCGCAAGTTCTTGTCTGCTTTAGAAACTATAGGCAACAGCAACCATGGCTTGGCGTCATTTACTCAAGATCATAATAATCTGAGGAGTTGATCCTTGTATTGTTGTGCATTATGATCTTACCATCGGTTAAAATGATTGGGTTTTGTTCCATCTTGTTTACCCTTCATCTACGTACAATACATGTGGAAACTCTTCACATACGGGTGCTGTCTTTCTTTATTTTGCTTTCTTTATTTTGAATCAGTTGTATACCTTGTCTGAAAACGAAAACGATTAAAAAAAAAGTTTTTTCCACTCTAGACAAGTTTTACATTCATGATCTACAATTAAGCCCTTAGGAACAATGTTTCATCCGACGGCAACTAATTGATAGGGCAGAGGGTGTTCTTACCGTTCGACATCAAGGTTCTAATAACCGCACTTTGCGCATGATATTCAACTAATGACAGTCTTGTCTTGTGAAAAATGGCTAATCTAGAATTTCTTCATAAATTATGCAAATAATGCTCTGATTTAGACTTTATTTTAGTGATGTCCGCCTTCACTTTACTTAAAAATGCCACAAGTATGAGGTTCCCTGTAATTACTATGGAATTATAGCTTTTTCGCATTAATTATGCAAATTAGGCCTTCATTTGCATAACCTTTATCTGCCTATGCTGTTCTTTACAATTACATATGCTACATGTTTAAATAATCATATCATGGAAGGTGGAAGATTTACAGCATTTCCTCATTAATTTTCTAATTAGATGCTGATTTGGAAAGCTATCATTTTAATGTCAAGCATTCTTCAAGGTACCCACATACCAGAAATTATGATGATCCGTCAATCAGTTCTTGAGTTATCCTCCTTCGAATATTTTTCAACAAATGCGTCTGCAGTTCTATAACAGGCCGCTAGAGGGCCAAACTCATGACACGTCTTTCCCAGCCAAAGAGCTACCTACCGTCCAAATTTAGTGACCCTACCATGTCCTGATCACAAGATATCAAAACCGGAAGTTCAGCTGCAGTCTCATAAAAAGCGACCAGGGAGTCCAAAATCTTTTTTCCTTTATTCATCAAAAAACATACAATGTAGTGAACCATCCCTTACATAATCATAATGATGAAATAATAACAATAATAATTCAACTCATATCTGATCATAATAATAATTGTTGTTTATTGATTGATCGAAGAGTACAATCGCTAGCATGTGGCAGCGCAACTAAATAAGTAGCGCTGAATTGTATGCTAGTGTTTAAAAACAGAGAAACAAATATTGCACAGTTAACAAATAGACAACTAAACAAGTGAGTATTTCACAGTTAACATATAGACAACTAAATATTAAACGAGTAAAATGAACTTAACAATTATTACAATATCAACCAATAAGTTATCAATATCATCAGTGTAAAAATTAATAATCTTATAGTATGTTACGTGATAACTAATCTTGGTAGGGTTGGTCATGGGAGATTTACTATGTGCCATATCTAAGATAGAGGATCGGGCTATTTTTGTATCGATTTGTTCTGGGGAGGGGGGAAAAGAGGTGGTTAAGGCCGCACAACACAGTATTTATGAGCGAACCCCGTAGTCAAAAGTAGTCCGGGCATAAAGTAGTGCTGCACAATACTAGAGAAGGGTGCAGAGATTGTTCTGTGCATGGCATCGAGATAGAACGTGTGGTAAATGTTAGAGGAATACGTCAGTTTTGAGACTGTAAAAGTTGAATTATGGTGCGTGTTCCTTCGGCGTAGATTTGCGCTTGGATACTTGTCCCGCCTAGTACTGTGCGTCGGCTGCAGTTCCATGACCTCCGCAGTGGCGCTAATAAAAGAGGGCATGAGAAGAGAACTAGCCGGCAAATCTAAGCACATTTTCACATATTTTGTATACTATACCCTGAAATTAAACATATCAAAATTCTGAACCTTGCTTGTGCACCCTACTATGATTTTCAGTGAGTCGAAGTGAGTCACTTTGGGGTCCTTAACTATAGAAATCCCCATCGAGCTAATACTGTGTTGTGCCGCCTTGAACCCCCATGGGAATTAATCAACCGTGTCAAATTCGGTGAAATTTTCTTAGTATATCTGGTACTGACGTCGGTTCAAGTAAAATACGCCAGTTTATTTCACCGCCAGACCTCCGTTGCCATGGCAACGGCCACTAGGACCGTCCCCTATGCTTTACTATGGGAGTTCCCCACTGGCCCGAGAACGCGTACCCCCCCCCCCTTTTCTGCCGTAAAAACGGCTTACACTAACTACAAATCACTCAGAACGTGAGAGGATACAACAATGTTATCCGCTAGCCAGAAAAAGTCGGCTGGAATAGTAAATTTGACCTGATAAGAAGACCATTAAATGGCCCGTCATTAGGGCCTTGTACGGGACCTAGGCCTACGACAGGTGCCGAAGTGCAAAGTTGCCGAAATCTCAGGAACCGTTTGGATTTGTGAAATAAAATTTGGCCAAGTTTCACACCTTGACTAGTTTTATCCTATAAACGAAAAAAGGTCAAGGTCAAGTTCGTTTAAACTGTTTACATTTTCTAACGTGGGTTGGTCTCTCGGCATGGTGGGAGCCAGGATCTGAAGGGAGAGTAGAAAAGGGATCTGGCAAATTTCAAACTTAGGTCCTCCCTCCTCTTTTCAAGGGAGGGTTAGACCTAGGTTGGATAAGGCGTCGCTATACCATGAGTACTCAGGACCAAGGGTTATCCGTAATGCACGTTTCTGAATACGCTCAATCTTCCTGGTTTGTAGTGCCGTAATGCCGGAGGTCCAGATGGGTGCTGCATATTCAAGAATAGGGTGTATATACATTTGGTAAAAATCGATTAGGTCGTTTGAAGGGAGCCCAAAACGTTTCAATTTCTTTAGAAAGAAGAGTCGGGAACTAGCTTTGCTTATAATGGATTCAACGTGCTTGTCCCATTTCAAATTGTGGGATAGCCATAGGCCGAGAATACATGCGTCATCTGTATATTCTAGTGGCTTATCATTGACGGAAATTAATTGGGGAGGGGGGGCAATCTCGCATAAAGGTAATCATCATTAATTTACATTTGTCAGCATTCAATGTCATGTAATTTTTGGAAGCCCAGAAATTTAATTGATCAAGAGATGGTTGGATAAGGCTGGGTTCATAGAGAAGTCTACTTTCACAAACAGAGAGGTCGTCGACATATTTGTAACGATTTAAACGGTTTACTTGGAGATCATCATTTACATAAATCAAAAACAGAATGGGACCTAATTTCGTACCTTGCGGGACTCCAGATGAGATAGTTTTCCATTGTGAGGTTTTACCATGATATCGGACACACTGTGAACGGTTGGAAATGAAATTGCAAAGCCAAGGCATAACTGACGTACGTATCCCACATTCCAACACCTTATTTATCAATTTTGTGTGATTAATCCTATCAAAAGCTTTACTAAAGTCGGTTAACAAGATCGTCTGTATATTGTTTGGCGTTTCAGCGTTAACCCTATCTAGACCGGGGGGGGGGGGGGCTAAAAGTGCCCGCGGCAACTTTGATGTCAC